ACTTTCCCTGATTCTCTCAGTGATTTTGGAATGCCATCGTATCTTCTAATCTCCCATCAGATGCACTTTAAAGAGAGCAGTTCCTTCCTCCAGTAGAATGGGTCTGGCACCCTGGATCAAAGATGACTCCTCTCTGTAGACCACTTATTTTGGCCGTCTCAGTCATTTCATTATTCTTTACATTGACATCATGATGGTGGGAAAACTTGGTTACTTCCTTTAAAATATGCTCCTTTTCCAAGCTGTTCTCCTGTGGACGTAGCCATCTTTGGCCATCTTTGATGCCTGAGCACCTTGGTCCTGGCCCAGCTGGGAACTGTACACCCTGAATCTCAGAGGGATGGGGATGACAGAATGGAATTTTTATTGAGCTCTTTGACATACTTCACTTTTACATTGCTTTTTTTGTACTAGTTGCATTTCTGTTCAGAATGAAAGATGCTGATCCTTGAAAGGTGTGATGGATGAGGTGGTATGGCAGTTGAAGTGCCTGTGAAGTTCCCTACCCCAGAGGTTACTGACACAGTGAACTCTAAACCCCTTGACCAGCATTCCACTCTGCAGTGGCAGCCCGCAGTGAGCATTTTCGCCGTGGTTGGTGGGTTTTGTGCCCAGAGCTACCTCTGCTATGCCAGACCATGGACTTGTGCCTACAGACCTTGCTACCGGGGTGGCTGTGTGTCTGCACCTCCACCTGCTTGGTTTCACACTTTTCTAATATAGAAACCTACCAGGTCACAAGGTGGTCTATTTCCTGCTAGTGTTGAACCATGGCTGAGGATGTTTCTGTGTGTAGAAGAATACCCAGCTCATTTCAGTTAACATTTTCACTGCAAAACACAAGAAAACAGCTTCTGGACTTGAGCTTTTTTTTATTGCTAACTTTGTACCTTGAGACATTTTGTCTCAGCAGGTCATTCTGCTATGGAACTACCCAGACAGACCCCCTCTGCCCTGCAGAGACCAGGGGCCTTTCTCCCGATCAGGGCTTTGTTTTTTTTTTTTTTTTCCTTTACAGCCAGATCTAATGCTTCAGATTTATTATCAGATGTGGCATGGATGATTCAAACAAAAACAAATGCCCTTGAGTTTAAAAATAGAAGTTAAAAGACTAAATATTTGCACTTAAAAAGGAAAAGAAAATAACAGAAATCTCTGTGGCAGGCCATTTCTTGAAATTATCCTCACTAAATTATACTCATGCACTTTCCACTCTCTGTAATTAAACATTAGATTTCATTTATTCCAGATGCATTTGCCTTAAGTAAAGTCAGGATGCCCACCCTTCTTTTCAGTCACTGAGTGTATTTACTCTTTGCAGCCTTCTTGTGATCGGTGTGGTGATAGTTTTAAGTGTATTTTGATGACAGTTTTTTTTTAATTGTATACTTTGTATGGAATATACATGCTGATGAATCTGATCTTACTAGGTTTTATACGATGTACTGCATATAAGATATAGACATTTTTTTACACATATGTTCTAGGAACATCTAGGATCTTCCTTGATGGCTGGCGTAATAGCAAGGAGGAATTTGCACTGATTATATTTCTCACTGTAGGTAGACCTGTTGGCTCCTGGGAAGGTTGCAAAACTTTTAATTTCTATGATCTCTTCTATTCAGAGAGAGTTACAGGAAAACCTAAAAGAACATTCTATTTACCAGATTTGCAAATTTCTTATGTTAGTGAAGCAGGGTAACTAAACAGAAGTCTCATTATCAAGAGCACATTTTTAGTGACTTAAACTATTTTTCTACTCTTAAGACAAGGTTTCCAATTAGAATTCATGACTAAATTCATTTAAAAAATATTTTTAAATAGTGTGATATTCATTAGATTTATTTACTTATAACCATTGTTAACACAACTTAAGATAGAAAATTTTTATTTTTACTAAGGGAGCCAGTGGCTTCATCAAGATTGATAAATTGTCTGACCAGTTAAATGTGATTGAAGATTAATTTTGCACAATCACAGCAGGAGAGCAGCTGCAATGCACAAGTTGAATTTAATTTCAGGCATAGTGTGTTTTGTGGTAGTGGAGGTTGTGGGGGTGGCGGGGGAGGGGTGTAGATACATTGGGAAGTTAGCCAGGCTTGCTTGAATATTTTCTTCATTTGCTATTTGACTGTTTAATAATTCTCAAGTGTATCCACAAGTTTGTGAGCAAACAAGGTCAGTGGATCACTTATATTAGCTCCACTGTAGTCTCCATAAGATCAAACATTCAAATTGCTGGAAATTGTTGGGCTATTTTCAAATATTCATCATCAGTTCAATATGGAAAATTTAAAAAATGCTCTATTGCTCTTCATTGGCTTTTTCTGCAAAACCATCTTCAATGATACCCATCCTCCTCCATGTTCCCTTTCTGGGATGGGGGAGCCAGCCGAAGAAGGTGAAGGAGACAAGAGAGCAAAGCAGCAGTCTGATTAATCCAAGTCCTGGAACATTCCAGAAAAAACACTCTCCTTTTGTGATTTGCCATGAACACAGAGAGTAGGATCTTGTTGAGTTTACAAACCACATCTTTTTTATCCAGTCATCCCTTCTTGGCTACTTAGGTTGTTTCCATGTCTTGGGTATTGAAAAGAGTACTACAGTGACCTTAGCACTTGTTATGACTTTTTTGAGAACTATTTTAGACCCTAAATATTTGAGCTCTGTGGTCAGTTTCTACTTCACTTGATTATTGTGAGAAATAATTACAGTAATGTGGTTAGTAAATTATCCCATTTTTCACATAATAACCCTCTCTGCATATATAAACACTCTTCATATATACTGTATAGAAAACTGCAAAAACAATGACAAAAAAGAAAATTGCTTTGAAAAAAGTAAAATGGACTTTTTGAACAAGCTTCTAGGAAAAAACTACTTCTCACACTCTACTAAGGGAGCGGGGGGAACTCCCTTCAAAAATAGATTTTGTTATTTAAAAATAGATTTAGAGGGCCCTCCCTGGTGGCGCAGCAGGTTAAAGCACAACACTAAGAAGCTAAAGCCGCTTCCACATGAGTTCGATCCCCGCCTGCCCGGGAGGTGACCACATGGCGTGGCAGACCTCTCCTGACCCACCCGCTGCTCCCTCAGCAGTGTACTTGGTTGATCTGCCTGTTCTGCTCCCCACTCTGTCTCCGGTGAAACCTCTCACCACCCCTGTACCTCTGGCTTGTACCCCAGTTCTGTATGCATAAATAGATAAAATCTTTAAAAAAATAGATTTAGAATAGAATAGTTGCATAAATCTGTTTTTGAAAGCATGAAAAAATTAAAGTCCAATGATGTTTCAAGTTGAGGTGACCTCATAGCCCTATAGTCTTAACTATTTAGAAATAAAACTGGCTACCCTTATTTTGAATCATTACAAATAATTGCATTTGATTTTCTCACTAAAGGACGAATATAGAAAAAACACAGTTGGACATCCTTGATGTGTGTTGTCAAAAAAAAATAAGAAAAAACAACTCTTTGCATGATTCTTTCTATGAGAAAAAACAATGTACCAAATCCTTAGAAGGAGCACTTGCCCTGAGAAGAGCTTTCCCACTCCACCTTCCTGTGGGGGTACGAGAGTGGGAGACAGCACCCCCCCCAGCAGAGTGCTATACAGAATGACCCATGGTTACTTAAAGGTTCTTTGATGAAAGTCAGCCAAAAATGCCCCACTATCTCAGTGAAGGTTCAGACAAAGGACTTTAATATACAACCTATCTGTCATCCCACTTGATCTCAGAATGGGGGTCCACATTCACTTTCCATTATTGTCAAAGAAAAATGTTATATAAACATTGTGTTGAAGAGTTGTTAATATTGAACAATTAGACATGGGTAGATAACATCTTGTGATTTAGGGTTAACTCATGATAATGAAACTTTATTATCTCTAAAAATCTCTGATATATGAAAATCAGTATGGGGAATAACACTATGATTAGCATCACCAGTTATATGTAGTGGTAAATTTTCTGGCTATCTGCAGGTCTCTGTGACTTCTGTTTTGTTTCAAACTTGGAGACATTTGTACACATTTACCGATAAGGACCCAATAGGCATCTGCCATATTATAGAGATTTTCTGTCTGAATACCCAGGAATTCATCAAGAGTCTTATTGTTTCAAAATCTTTTTTTTTTTTTAAATTTTTAGTTATTTGTGCATACAGAGCTGGGGTACAGGCCAGAGGTGCAGGGGCGGTGAGAGGCTTTACCAGAGACAGAGTGGGGAGCAGAACAGGCAGATCGACGAAGTACACTGCTGAGGGGAGCAGCGGGCGGGTCAGGAGAGGTCTGCCACGCCATATGGTCACCTCTGAGGTGGGGCTCGAACTCATGCTGAAGTGGCTTTAGCTTCTTAGTGCTGTGCTTTAACCCGCTGCGCCACCAGGGAGGGTCCTCAAAATCTTTTTAATATCTGAAATTCTAGTCATTTCATTCTTATCCTCATGAAATAACTTGAGAAAAAAAAAAACTTGGAAGGAAAGTTGTCTTCAGGAGTATGTGCATGAAAGAATGAAGTCTTGCCATTTGTGATGGCATGGATGGAACAGGAGAGGATGATACTAAGTGAAATAGGAGGAGAAAGACAGACACCTGATGATTTCACTCATGTGTGGTCTAGAGAGAAGTAAAGCAAAGGAACTGGCAAAATTAAACCAAAACAAACCATAGAAATCTGCCTATAGAATTGAGACCACCAACGTGGAAGAGTGGGGGTACGGAACCGAGGGGGGTACTCAATGGACTTTGGGTGCTGTGGTGGTGGGTATGATATCGTAATATAATAAGAACTGATACTTGTGAATCACACCCAGTTTTGTAAGCCAGGGTTATCTCGATAAAAAAACAGGCACAGTAAAAAGAGAGTACAGGTGTATATCTAAAATACATGGTAGACTTTTTCAATTTTTGTTACCTTTCTGTATCTCTAGAAGTTTGCCCCCTGCCCGAGTGTGCCTGCTCACAGAATAACGTCAGTGATTACTTCTGTTCCTGCAGGATGGTGCTACTCCACTGGTGTCTGCTGTGGCTGCTCTTACCACTCAGCTCAAGGACCCAGAAGTTACCCACTCGAGACGAGGAGCTTTTTCAGATGCAGATCCGAGACAAGGCATTTTTCCACGATTCCTCAGTAATTCCAGATGGAGCTGAAATTAGCAGTTATCTCTTCAGAGACACACCTAAGAGGTATTCTCCCTGCAGCTCTTCTTTTATAAGATGTTTCCTTCTAAAAAGCAAGTTACCTTTCAGACATAGTCTAGGTGCTTTGCAACCAGTCTCACAATCGTGTTGTCTTTTTTACTCTGAGTAAGAAAAAGAAGTGGCATGCAACTTTCATCTTTCAATAGAGACTCCTTGATTCTGGCTGGGAACTCCTTTTGGGTAGAGAGCATGATCCTTGACGTCTTACATTTTGCAGTAGTTATTTTCATATATTCTGGACGGTAGGGGATTTCTAAGAAGGACTTTATAGAATTAAAATTCAGTTAATTGATTGCATAGGAGATTTTCAAGGGTCTTATTAGGTCTTATAAGGATAATATTTGTTTGATCAGATTCTGATCTGATTAATATGATCAGATTCTGAGAGAATCATGCCAAATGATAATAAAAATGGATATTATTCATTTATGGTTCCTCCAACAGCAACATTACTGGGTTCACATAATACTTCTAGTTATTTTAACCTTTAAAAATTACAAATATATATAAAGTTACTTCCTTTGCAGTGCTCAAGCCTCATACTACCTTTGTAAGGGTAGAACATAGCATTGAGATATAGATAATTATATTTAAAAAAAAAATTCCTTTTAGCCTTTGGCATCCAACAGGATAAAACACTCACGCATCACCAATAATCCATTTTCCAAAGCAGGTGTATCATCACATCATTAGGTCATCTTTCTCTTGTCAACTCGGTTCGTGTTAACAGTTACAGCAGTCGAAACCTGGTGAAACTGAGGGGGTACTCAGTCACCCCAGCCTGTAAAGGAAAAAAAAAATCCCATTTTATCCTTCCTAAAGGGTATAGCCATCTATGTATAGCCATCAAAGGCAAAGAAAAGCAGTATTTTAATATGCACAAAGGTTTTTCAATGGTGTGCAAAGAAATACAGAAAAGAAAGGATTTTAAATAATAGTCTCCCCCTCACCCCCCACTGCCATCAAACTCTGAAAATTATCCATCCTCTTGTGGACAAATGCCCTCCCAAAACAGGCTTAAAACAAAGTGTGAGCTGAGGGCTGAGGTCTAAAAGCTTACCACTAGTCCAAGGCATCTCCCAGTGGATGCCAATAGAAAGGACACTAGGCAGGTCCTAGAGGAAAGGGGCAGGAGAGATCCAAGCTCAAAGTGTACTTTATAATCTACCACAAGATCAAGGTAAAGGCTGCAATTCTTTCTGCCAAAAATAGTAAAGCTGCCAGGATCCAGGGCCAGGAACAGCCTCCCCTGGTGTCTCTTACCTGTGGGTCTCTCCTTCCTCTTCACGCCACCTCAGTTTGTATATCCACCTTCCTCCTTCTCAGCTGTACCCCACTCGGGAAGTCCAGGTCATGGGAAACTGGGATTTGTATTCCAAGGTACTTGAGATCTTGTGGGCATGAAGATCTTACGGGATTTGTTCAGGACATCAGTCACTGGCCCAGAGTTTGTTCCTCACTGTCCCTATGACATCAGTAATGATGGAATCTCTGAACCTCCTCCAGTTCCTGGCCCAGCCCCATTACCATCTGGTTCCTGTGTGATGAGTAGGTGGTCACTTTTCCTGTTTTGATTGAGATAGCCTGTAACTTAGTTATCAGTTGAGCACTTTCTGCATGAAATGACTTGCTTGAATAAATGTATGAGATTAGGAACTGACTAATATAAATGTATTATATTTATGTAAATATAAATATAAATAGCATGTAAAATAGCTATGACACTCTCAAGACATTTGAAAAAGTGAAGTCACATAGCAGAGATGACACTGAATGGAAGAACTTGAAGGCCTGGCACTTACTAGGGCTAAGTTTGTGAACACGAGACAGAACAGAGTAGTCAGTCCCAAAAATTCAAGTGAGTCTTGAATTCAAGTGAGCAGAATTCTTGCTGAGCACGTTTTGCTTTTCGTATTATTTTGTGTCTTGAAGTTTTTGAGTCACTCAAAGGTTTTAAAAATTACTTTAATTGCAGGCCCTCCCTGGTGGCACAACAGGTTAAAGCATAGCACTTTGAAGTTAGCCACTGCTTGCTTCAGCATGAGTTCGATCCCCGGCCAGGGAGGTGACCCACATGGCGTGGCAGACCTCTCCTGTCTCACCCACTGCTCCCCTTAGCAGTGTACTCTGTCAATCTGCCTGTTCTGCTCCCCACTCTGCCTCTGGTGAATCCTCTCACCTCCCGCACCTCTGGCCTGTACCCCAGTTCTGTGTGTATAAATAAATATTTTTAAAAATTTACTTCATTTGCCCAGATACACTTGTGCACTTGCTTTGCAGTATTTTTTAAATGCAACATCCCACCTTGAATACTTCTATCAATCACATATATAATTTATCCTTGCTCTTCTTAAAAATTAAATAAGTTTTGGTTCTAAGGGTGGTCTTAAAAAATTACATTTTTTTTTTTTTGCCTTTAAAAAGACATGTTTTTGTTACAAGGCATTACAAAGCAGTCAAGACTTGCTCCTTCCCTCCCTTGCTTTGGTTTCTTTCATTTGTGTATTCTCTTTGACTTTTCTCTCTCACACACAAAAAGAGTGACTGAGGGTTTCAGTATCTACAGTTGGATGAGATGCTAATTGACACTCATTAGGATTTGCAGCCACAATAGAAGTAACATTTCCAGGGGTGTAAAGAGCCCATTGAGACACCCATAGGCACTGTCTGTACTACAACTAATAAGATTGTAGATAACATTTAGTCACAACAGACAGAAAAAAACTGACACATTCCTTAATTATTCTTATGGTCATCCTTAAACTCCAAAGGCTAAGGAGTTCATGAAATATTGGTCTCAGCCTTGGCATTGTAATTGGGGGCATATTCATGACATCTGTCTCCCTCCCTGGTGAGTAGGTGTCTGGGGACATAGATGATGATGCCCTGATGCTTCTGGGGGCCACTCACGTCCAAGAGCTCCGTGCATGGAAGACAATATGTTTGTCAGATTGTTAAGGTTTACTCAGATGATCTTTCCCCCCTATCATAAGTGCTTCCATATGAAGATGTTGACTTAGAGGAACTCCCTGCTGTTTTATATATATAATGAATACCTAGTGGAATGCAAACATTGCTTCATTTGTTATTGTTTGCCTGTGACCTGTATTTAAGTTACTGACACACAGTTACTTAACTCTGGCAAATACACTACTTGTTTGAAATGAGAACAGAGGGAGGCAGATGTCTGCCAACGGGAACAAAATTCTACTCTTTAGAAAGTGCAGAGTTGAAAATTCATCCATCTGACATCTGCCTTGATGGATACCTATGGTACCTAATGTATTCCATACAGTGAACAACGTAGTCATCTAGTTCTTTTGTCTAGATGATTGGCTACCATTTTATAGCAAGTTGTTTTGGTTTTTTTTGAGTCTTCATTTAATTCATCCTCCCCTACTTTGCCTCACTCTTAATCTCCTAACTTATCTTTGAATGGTGATGTAGAAACATGTTTGTATCTTTCCATTCAGATTCTGTATGGTCAGATAGAAACTGATGTGAGGTGTAAGTATTCTGAGGCTAGAATAATAGGTTGGGCAGTAGAGTGTTTGGATTCCATCATTGGTTGAGTCACTCATTCATGCCAACGTGTTTATCAAGTATCAACTATATGTAGAATTGCGTGCAGACTACTGGGAATACAATGACATGGAAAATGAAACCTTCACGGGCTCTTGTAGAGACACCAGCATTAATTAAAGAAAAAAGTGCCAAGTACAAAGTCACAAATTCCAATAAGTAACTAAAAGGAAAAGTACAGGACACTGAGAATATTTAAGAGAAAATGAGGAGTCAGAAAAGGCAGCCTCAAAGAAGTGACATTTACATATGAGTAAGAGCAGGGCCCTCCCCTGGTGGCACAGTGGGTTAGGACACAGCACTGCAAGGTAGCCACAGCTTTAGTGTGAGGCCCCCGAGGTGATCTACATGGCGCGGCAGACCTCTCCTGACCTGCCTTCTGTTACCCCCAGCAGTGTATTTCGTCGATCAGCCTGTTCTGCTCCCCACTCTGTCTCTGATGAATTCTCTCTCCGCCCTGCACCTCTGGCCTGTACCCCAGTCTGTAAGGATGGATGGATGGATGGATGGATGGATGGATGGATGGATGGATGGATGGATGGATGGATATAAGAGCAAAGAGGGATATTTCAACAAAGAAAACAATACCCCAAAAGGGCTGGGGGTTTGTCATACCTGAGAAAGGATAGGTTGCAGGAGAAGCTGGTTTGGGGCAATCAGAAGTTTGGAATAGAGATCTTAAGTTTTAAATTCTCTAATTTGTATGTTTAATCACAATATAAAATTTCTGGGGACTCTGATCCTATTTTGGCCACCAAAATCTCAAACCCATGTTCACAGGCTTATCCTGTGCTTGAAGGTAAAGAGTTAAGAAAAGATTTAACACTGGATACCCATTCTTTGCATTTCTACAGTGCACTCATTAACAAGGAAAAAAATGTTAACATCCTGCCTTTTTCTAAAGATCATCCCATCTTTAGGTCAGAACAACTTAGAACTAGAAGCCCCTCCTATCAAGAATAATTAAATTTTTTTTAAAGATTTATTTATTTATGCTTACAGAACTGGGGTACAGGCCAGTGGTGTGGTGGGTGAAAGGATTCACCAGAGACAGAGTGGGGAGCAGAACAGGCAAATTGACAAAGTACATTGTTGAGGGGAGCAGAGGGCGGGTCAGGAGAGGTTGCCGCACCATAGGGGTCACTTCCCTGGCTGGGGATCAAATTCATGCTGCAGTGGCTTTGGAGAGCTTCATAATGCAGTGCTTTAACTCGTGCCACTAGGGAGAGCCCATAATTACATTCTTAATGTCAGTGCCTCACTATCCTCCCTATGTAAGATGAATTCAAACTTGTGTTTATTGCCATAGCTTCAAGGAGGAACTCTGCTGGGTTTCTTCCCTGGTTATATATAATTCTTACTTTGATTATGTATAAACTCTTGATCTAACTATCCTTGAGATTTTATCTTTAATTCACATAAATAACATAGCAGGTAGATAGTTGTATCTAGAATCTAGGTAAGCATTCAGGCTGGCTGTTTCTGTTTGGGAGCGGTTAAACTGGAAGGTGTTTGAGCCTCAAGCCTGGGTGCGGTCACATAGGGGGACACAGAAATGCAAGTACAGTCCCTTGTGTACCTCGTGGTGGGGGCCAGGGAGCTGAGGAGGAGCCACAGAGGAGACTGATGGAGTGAAATTCTAAGAGTGTGGTATCCAAAGCAAGGGGAGACTCCAGGGACCCTGTCCCACGTAAGGAAGGAGCCGAGCAGCAAGGCAAAGCTAAAAACGGACTGGGGAGGAAAGGAAGGGAAAACGGAAGAAGAAGACTGGAGAAGGCACTAGGAGCAGGGAGACATGTGAAGCTGTGCTTGCTTCTTGGCCTTGGACTTGCACCAGGGACTTGGGAACACGGAAGGAGACACTTCAAAGAGATGTGGCTGAGAGACCCCTGGGGAGCCTTTATCTTGACTTGTATTTGGAAGCTGCTCCTTTCCTTCCAGACATACCTGGCCCCTTCTGCCCTGACCCGTGGTCCCCTCCAGAAGGTACCTTAGATTTGTGGCAGGCTTCTGAGCCTCAGTGGTCCCACTATGGCCAGCCCTGTTTGCCCATGTGAAAGATGGATAACTGGGAGTTTTGTGGGGAAGCAATTTTAACTATATTCCTTCTTTTCTCTTCTTCTGTCCATTGTATTAAAATTCTTTTCTATTGAAGGTCTTATGCACTAAGACTGTGTTTGTCTTGTGCAGTGGATGGCAGAACCCATTTAGAGTGGGCAGGCTTTCGGGGATCTCAGTGTACCCTCATTTACCTGCCAACAGAAGGCTATGTCTCAAGTTGGACAGACTGTTAGCAGTGGGTATGGAGGGATTTGAGAAGAGATTCCCAGGTAGTCGATTGTATCCACAGGGGTACACTTGTATCTTGTTTGCTTTGGATCAAGTAAGTAACTCTGGCCTGGCTAGAAGCAAAACGATTATCACTTAGGAATCAGTACCCTTTGTGGGTTGTTATTTAACATAAGCCCATTGCAAAGTAAGTCTAAGCAAGAATTTACAGGTATGTGGCCCTATAAAAATTGCTTTTTCTATAATTAAGTTCCAACAACTATTTCTGAAGATACCAGTCTAAATGCATGTTGGTTTCTAGCAAAATAACACCACATTCACATCTTTCCACATGTGACTTTTATTCATTGTTCTGCTATTCTTAATATTTGGATAGGGGTGTCTAATCATCATTTAGGAAATATGTTTATTCTTAAAAAATGTTTGTATCTTTTTTACTTTCCTCCACCAGACCACCTTGTCCACACCCCATCTGCCTCCCTCCGTTCCTCCTCCTCAGTGGCAGGGCTTGTGTTAACTAACACTCTACAGAGAGTATTAATTCTTAAGTCAAGATTTTGGTTCAATGTCTCTTTATTGTTTTACAGTGTTGCCGGCACATGTGATTTGAGAACCTTCAGTTAGTGGACTTGCACAGTTAATGATGACCATCTCATGATTTGTGTTAGACAGACAGTGTTACTCCCTGTGAAATGAATAAACAATAACCAAGTAGTTTTCCCTGTAAGTCTTGATTGTAAATGTTCAAATGTGTGATCTCCCTCTGAACTGGTCCGCTTTCCCACAGGTATTTCTTTGTGGTTGAAGAAGACAATACTCCATTGTCTGTCACAGTCACTCCCTGCGATGCACCTTTGGAGTGGAAGCTGACCCTGCAGGAGCTGCCAGAGGAGAGTGGGGAAGGCTCAGGTGAGCCCTGGCGTGTCTGCCCCAGACCACTGAACCCCAGTCTGAGAGGCTTGGGAAATGTAGAGCCTCTTGTAGCAGGAAGCAGAATTAGTGAATTCCATGAGGATTATGAATGTATGAATTTATTTTATTTTTGCTTAGAAGAGGTAGGGGGATAGGTCAGCAGTATGGGGCAGAGGGGTGAGAGGCTTCACCAGAGACAGAGTGGGGAGCAGAACAGGTGGATCGACTGAAATACAGTGCTGAGGGGAGCAGTGGGCGAGACAGGAAAGGTCTGCTGCACCATGTGGGTCACCTCCCTTGCTGGGTATCGAACTCAGGCTATAGCAGTGACAGCTCTGAAACTTAACTCTTAAGCCACCAAGGAGAAACCTGAATGTATGAATGTGTTATTAACCATTTTACTGGAGTGAATATTATTTAAGAATGCATCCTTCTAGTAACAAAAATAGCACAGGTGTGTATGTACGGCTGGAGGCTGGGTGGAAATGAAGGGGGTAAGGAAGGCATCAGATGGCGGTAGTTGTGGTAAACTCTGGGGAGTGAGAAGGGAGAGGGAGGGGAAAGGTTTGGACTAGCCTCGGGCCCTTTTTGCCATGTGCCTGACCATTGGAATTACTTTGGGGGGCTTTAAAAACTACTGGCACTTGGATCCTTCCCTGAGAGGTACTGATTGAATTGCTCTCAGGTGTAGTCCAGAATATGGGACTGACCTATTGGATTATACTATGTAACCAATGTGGAAACATTGGGGGGGGGGTGTCAAAAAAGAGCATTTAGCTCTTAATAAGAAATTGTGGAAACAAAGGGGGGGTGTCAAAAAAGAGCATTTAGCATCACTGAAAGTCCAATGTGAAAAGAAACTCAGGAGAAGGAATGGGTAGGAATGCAAATAAAGAGACATACGTGGCCCCTGTTCACGACGGCATTCTTCATGATAGCCAAGAACTGGAAACAATCTAAGTGCCCAGGGACATGACGGGATAAATGGGACGTTGGCATATATACATAGTGGACTACTACTCTGCTCTATAAACAACAGGATGAAATCCAGTTATTTGCAACATGAATGGACCAAAAGAGTGTTATGTTTAGTGAATTAAGTCAGACGGAGAAAGAGAAACACCATATGATCTCACTTGTATGTGATGCATACAGAAACAAACAAATGAGCTAAATAAAACAAGCTGTTAGACTCTGAGGCCAAATGAGTAGTCAGCAGAAAGGAAGGGGGAAAGTGGTGGGTAGGTAAATCAGGTAAAAGGAATCAACTGTATGATGAGGGATAGAATTAATTTTTTAGGGTGAACTTATACATTACATTGCACATAGCTGCTAACTTAGAAAGGTGCACTTACAAAAATTAACTAAAAAGAGAAGATGCAGATACTGGGATGTGAGTTACAAGATACACGGAAATGAGGAGAGTCCAGTGGAGCCCTGAAGGGCTGGAGGCGTCAGTGCTTCAAGGGGAAGTTGACAGCTGGTCCCCTGCAGGGAGGCTTGCAGGCTGCAGAGGTCACAGTGAGGAGGGATCTGCAACTGGGAAAACTCTGGACACACATGCAGAGGCCCCTAGGGCTGGAAGAGACGAGACGAGTAGCCCGTGATGAGGGCGATGATTTCAGAGACCAGCATTGTGGCACTGCGTCCCTCATTGCCGACCTGCGGGGAAACCCGGAATGGGTTCCTTCTCACTCTGCCCACCCGGTTTTCCTCCCATTCTCGGAAACCTCTACACACTGGTATCTGTTTATTAGCTGGCGCTAAAGTAATAAAAGATGGAAAAATTACTTGGCTTCCTTACTTTTCCCATATTATGCCTAAGCGCATGTCCTATGCATTGAAAATGAGCTGCTCTTACTGCTGCTTCATGGTCTGTATTATAATGAGACTCTCCAGTCCTACTAACCAAAGTGAAATTAGTGAAATACCTGGCTGGCCAAATGCAAAATCCTAGCATTCATTCCTTAAGCAGATGGACCACGGGACTTATCTCTAGAAGGTCTTTGACCTAGATTTTGCACTAACTGGAGTCTATTATGAAGACATCATTTAAACTCAGAAAAGTCTCATACACAGATGAGCCCCCCCCTTTTTTTTTATGATGGTCAAAAGCTGGCCTGTGCTATTATTTTGATGATGGACAATTAAGTGAAAAAAGCAGGATTCAAAAAGGGGAGGTCTGCTAGGAACAAAGGCCTGAGAATAGATGTTAAGTTACAGAGAAAACTGAAAGAGATTATCAATGGCATGCAAATACACAAAAGTAAAGACTGGATGGCAATAAACCCAAATATTAATAAAGGACCATCTCTGGATCATGACGGATGGAGGATCTCTTATCTCGTTCCTCTTACTATTTCCTCATCTTCTGCCAGGCACCAGCATTATTTTTCTAATGGAGACAAAGGGAGCTCCTTTGAAAGGCAGAGGATGTTGGAGGTTGACGAGTGAAGGCACGTGCTGACCGTAGCCTCTGTTTCTCTTGTGTCTTCCAGGAGACCCAGAGCCTCTGGAGCAGCAGACGCAGCAGATCATAAACGAGGAGGGCACAGAGCTGTTTTCCTACAAGGGCAATGACGTGGAGTATTTCCTGTCTTCCAGTTCCCCGTCTGGTTTGTATCAGCTGGAGCTGCTCTCCACGGAGAAAGACACTCACTTCAAAGTCTATGCCACCACCACCCCGGAGTCAGATCAGCCCTACCCCGAACTGCCTTATGACCCCAGAGTTGATGTCACCTCCCTGGGACGCACGACCGTCACGCTGGCCTGGAAACCGAGCCCCACGGCGTCGCTGCTGCGACAGCCCATCCAGTACTGTGTGGTCATCAGCAAGGAGCACAACTTCAAGAGCCTGTGTGCTGTGGAAGCCAAACTGAGCGCCGACGACGCTTTCATGCAGGCGCCCAAGCCGGGTCTGGACTTCAGCCCCTTCGACTTCGCCCACTTTGGCTTTGCCCCAGACAACTTGGGGAAGGACCGTGGCTTCCTCGCCAAGCCGGCCCCCAAACTGGGGCGGCATGTGTACGCCCGGCCCAAGGTGGACATTCAGAAGATCTGCATCGGAAACAAGAACATCTTCACCGTGTCGGACCTGAAACCCGACACGCAGTACTACTTGGACGTCTTCGTGGTCAACCGCCACAGCAACACAAGCACTGCGTACGTGGGCACGTTTGCCAGGACCAAAGAGGAGGCCAAACAGAAGACAGTGGAGCTCAAGGACGGGAAGGTCACAGATGTGTTTGTCAAGAGGAAGGGAGCGAAGTTTCTACGGTTTGCGCCGGTCTCTTCTCATCAGAAAGTCACCTTCTTCGTCCACTCCTGTCTGGACGCTGTCCAGATCCAAGTGAGAAGAGATGGGCGGCTCCTCCTGACTCAGACCGTGGAAGGCATTCGGCAGTTTCAGCTCCGAGGAAAGCCCAAAGCAAAGTATCTCATCCGCCTGAAGGGGAACAAGAAAGGCGCCTCCATGTTGAAAATCCTGGCCACCACGAGGCCCACCAAGCAGGCTTTCCCCTCGCTCCCCGAAGACACCAGAATCAAGGCCTTCGACAAGCTCCGCACCTGCTCATCGGCCACCGTGGCTTGGCTGGGCACTCAGGAAAGGAACCAGTTCTGCATCTACAAAAAGGAAGTGGACGAGAACTACAGCGAAGAGCAGAAGAAGAGAGAGCAAAACCAGTGTCTCGGACCCGACACCAGGAAGAAATCGGAAAAGGTGCTCTGTAAATATTTCCACAGTCAAAACCTGCAAAAGGCAGTGACCACGGAAACCATCAGAGGTCTCCAGCCTGGAAAGTCGTACCTGCTGGATGTTTACGTCATTGGACACGGGGGCCACTCCGTGAAGTATCAGAGTAAAGTCGTGAAAACCCGCAAATTCTGTTAGTTCCCTTGTTTAGAGATGTGTTGCCTAGAACTCCGGTACAGACCTGAAATCACTTTACGTGTGAACTGACTACTCCCACAGCTGTGAGAAGTTGTGACCCTGCCCCGCCCGGTGGAAGGACGGTATCAGCTTGTGTGCGCATCACTGTCGGAGAAGACCTGTCCTGTGTGCCCCAGTGATGCCTGTGGGGGTCTGAGGACAGCTTGAAGGAACTGCCATCCCTTGCTTTGACCACTGCATGAACTGCTTCTAAATTATTTTATTACCTAAAAATTTTAAAATATGCCATTCATTGCACACATCCACAAATCCTCTCTATAGATGCTAGGATATATATAAATTATTTTATAAAGTCTTGTCTTAAATGTCCGTGTTTCTATGATTGTAAACTATTAAATTCTCTTCCTGTTAAAAAAAAAAACAAAACAGATCTAATCTTAAGTATATTCAGTGGACAGCCCGCTAGTCAGTTATATTGCTATTGTAAATTCTTATCTGTTGAGTAAAATGTTTAAATACTGTATGTATCTCATGTACAAAGTTGCCATACATTATATTCCTGTACATAAAATTAAAGATATTAGATTATATACTGTTTGTTTTCCCAAGGAGAGACCTTGGTTTTTTTCAGTTTATATTCTGTACCCCGACACTGTATCTTATGTAATTTGGTACCCAAATTGACCCTTTTGATAGCTGTAAGGCAGGAGGCACCTCTCTAAAGTTACTATGGTATTCGAGATCCTTCCTGCAGTCTGCTTTGGGCACTAAACAGGAGCTAGCTACGGTGAGCCTACACAGCTTGCACAGGCTGGCTGTGAAAGCATCGGAGAAACCAGGCATGGCTGAGTATTCAACGAACTGTCCCTCACAACCTAATTATTAAACACCTATGTTAAAAGGAAGTATCTGTTTAAACTACAAAAGTGGATGTTCTAACTATTTTCCATCTGCTTGAACATTAGCAGAATTACTATTTTAATATAGATTTTAAACAATTTAATCTGTTGTTTAGAAGCCATCCTGGCTTCGATCAGCGATGAGAAAACAGTCCCATTAACAGTTGGCTGCTTTTGACTTTGACTTTTTTCATGAATTTTTGTAAAAAGTAATTTAGGCATAAGATCAAGTCAAGCAAATACGAGACCACTGATCAAACATCGTAAACAGCTATGCAGTTTTAAGTTCTTTCTTTCTCTGCAGGTTCTACCCCTGAGATGCTATGATAACAATGGCCCGCTATTCAGAAAAGCCTGGAACTTATGATAAGCTCAGGTAGATGACTTTAGGAAAATCTCATACTTCCCTTTCCCACTGATAAAATTAGGAGATGAGAGATTTGGGTAACATGACCTTGGAAGAGAGTTCCTCCTCTCGAACTTTGTAGAATTCTCTGATTCTGTATTACAAAGTGCTTCTGTGACTTCAAGTGGAGACAAATTGAACCCTTCACTTCTATGTGGACCCTCCATGTGGCTTTCCAGCCCATGCAGTGGGCAGGCATTAGCAGCTTCCCCCACAAGTACAGACTCACTGTGCCCAGCATAATAGCAGTGAGGGTCTTCATGGCTGGTGCTCAACTTACCTGAGAAGAGAATATCGCCCTTGAAATTGGATGATCCACCCCTCACTGTTCAGATAGCAGATCAAAATTGATCATACTTGTATAACAGATAAAACTTAAAAGAGGAATTTTTTTAGTTCTACTTTTTTTTTTCCTTTAAAGAACAGGCATCCAATGGCCATATAACCAACCAGTTTGGTTTTAGATTGATTTTAATTGACAAAATCCCAGAGATGATATGTCCTAAGTTATAAATATCATGCCGTTGGCAGGAGAATGAACTCTCATATTATTCACATAATTATTATTACAGAGCAATGTACTAAAGGCCACTAGAGTGAATCAAAGAGTTCTTGCAGCTTCTGGAGGTGATGGACTTAACTTTCAGATATTGCTTAATGCCTGGGAAAGCCTGGGAACCAAGCCAAATCCATTGAACCAAGCTTTTACTTTTCAGCTAGCTGTGATGGTAGTTTCTACACAATCTAGGTAAATCTGAGAATTCTTTCATGGCACCAGTGAAATTTGCCTTTTTAAAATTATAAGAAAATTAAATACTATCACTAATGAAAGAGAAAAAACTATGAAAAATAAAGCTCTCGTATTTTTTAATGCATTCAGATTTTAGGAGCATTCAGGTGAACTGGGAACAAAAAGTATCAAAAGAACCCCAAAGGAGTTAATGTGGAAATACCACCTTGTTTTCATTAAGCTCCAGGGTGGTTGTATTGATTCTGGGGCATTTAGGATCCTAGCGGTATCCATGGTATCAGTGAGGATGAGAAATCTTTGAAGATAGTAAGGTTCAAGTTCACTATCCTTATTTGTCTTGTGCCAAGAGAAACTGAAAAGCAGAAAAATAAAAATGAAGTGTTCATAGTTGAAACAGCTAAGTGGTGCAATTGTCCAGATTCAAGTCACTACAAAATCCGACTCACCAAGCCTCAGGAGGGGAAGTTATCTCTGGATCATCTTCCCAAAGAACTTTTTGTCCTGTTTCTGATTTTCTTTTTTAATTTATTTTTTACATCATTCTTCATTATCTGTTTCTGATTTCAAAGCAGCTTATTCTGAACACCATTTCAGAATTTCTTCAGACTGTGTGTAACCTATAACTGACAACTTAGTAAGAATAAAAAGTTCTTATGATAATTTTACTGGGTTGAGAGAGAAAAGGTATTCTATTCTAGAATGGGATACACACACACAAAATTGAGGCTCTAAGACCATTAGTTGATCACTGTAATGATGAGCCTGGTATTTTTTTTTAATTAAAATTATTCAGAACCTGTAAAATAATTATAATAGATGATTTTCTTCCTGAAGTACTTTATAATCAATGTCTGGATGACTTTTTAAAACATGTATTAAAGAATTAGTGCTGGAAAGGATATGTGCCGTCCTTATTCAGAATACCTTTCAGAAAATTAAGATTTTGGTGTCCTGAACAGACAAACCAAGGGACTTCAATTAAAAAATAAGCCATCTAGCTAAACTTTAGTTTGTAGTGGCTTTTTGGTTTCTGAGGTCCAGAAGAAACTTGTGTTTAACTTTTGCATACAATTCAAGAGATAGATGGACCATAAACCAATCAAGATCTATCTATAACATCACCAACCTTTCTTTTGGGGCACCGTGATAGAATATTCTATTTGAAAAATGAGAAATCTGAAGTCCTATTAAGACTAGAACCCAGATTCTGTACTTAACATTCACTCCATGACTTCAGTGTAAGTGCTTCTCTACTCTAGAGAGTGTGCCATGACTCACCCAGACTGTAGTTCTGTGTCTCTCTTCACCGACTGGATTCAAAGCAAACTCAAACAAACTTGAAGAGCAAGGTCACTTGGAGCCTCTCCAGCCACTTCCTCCCCCACTTTGATATGGTGTGATAGAGATAAAGTCGCTGGGAACTTGCCTTTGGGCCTCTCCCCAGGCCAAAGCAAGTGACCACTGGCAGACTTCAGCTGGCTCCCTTTGGGTGCACCAGGGAGGCGTCAGGGCACACTCTTTCTGTTCTCCCCACAGAGTTTTGCACCCCCAAATAGACAGTAGTTAGGTTGTGGGTTTGGTTGGGAAGCTGGAAAGAGAAAACAGCTAGAGGAAATGAAACTTGGAAAAAAAGTATTATTTTATCTAGTTTCTTTCTCTGAGGGATAAAGAAGATGAGAGATCGACAGTAGCATTTTTATTAAGGTTTTGGATTCTGTCTATATGCAAACTTAACACTGGAAATTCTGACCTAGATCACCATCCACCCTATTAAAATACCCTCTATTGAAATAAAATGAAAACTCCCTCCTTTAAAATTCTGACATTCTGATTTCCCAAGAATGGTTCATCATGCCTGGGTAAAACCAGCTTTATTTGTGGTTATTTCTGTTTCTCCCTCTCCAACCTTTGAGAAACAAATGTTCATGAAGTCTAGCGATAAAATTACTTAATGTGGGGTTTTATGTCCACCCTTAGAACTCTTTGGAAAAAATTAAAACTTTTCTTTCACCATGTAAAAGAAAGAGAAAACTATTGATTGCTGTTGCAGAAAAATAATTGGTTACAAGTTTGAAGAGTCCAAGGTGACTGTTGGGAGACCTATATGACTTGTCCTTGTTCAGACATGTAAGTGTTAGAGGTGAAGAAGCACAGTGCAGAGAGGACACTAAGTCCTGCTAAAAGACCCATGAAAATACAAAAATAAGACTGAATACAACTCACCATCACACAACACTATAAAAGAGAACTTTGAGACCCTGAACCTGGAACCTCTCAGGCTGTGGACATGTCTCAAGACTTTGGAATCTGAAATAATGTTTCGAATTGAAAACCCAGGTGTAAACCCGAAAAGTCAGAGCAGTTGGGTTCTCTTTATGGGTTAGTAAGACCCAGAGAGAAGAGCCTAGAAAAAAATAACTATCTTACGAGTAAGTGATATGATGAATGTGTTGCTTTGTTCGGGAGTCTGGTATTATTGTCAGAAGCTGGTGAGTTTTAAACAGTCATTTCAAAATATTTCCAGTCTCTTTTTATGTAACTATCTGCCAAGATTAACATCCAAATTGTCATAATTTGGAAAAAAGCAGATATCCATTTCTTGTCTATAGTTACATCTTGCTATAACCCTTCCAGCTTGCATAAATAGGGCAGCACTGGATAATATAAACAGTCATTTTTAAGATAGACTTGACAAGACCCCATCATGTCTACATTTAATTATAACTCTGACAAAGTTTTGCTTCTGAGAAAAATTATTTCTAATAAACAGAACCAAGTACATGCATACACAATCGGCCTGTTCCCTCTCATGCATTCCTATAAAACAAGCACAGACCTATTACATAAGATTAATACACCAACTACCTCCCCATGCAGGCTAGAAATTTTCAGCCTACGCCAGATCAGCAGGCAGATTTTATAAGCAGGGTTTTATCCTCAAAGA